AAATTGGACTTGATTCTTATCTTTCATTTTACAGAAAGTAGGCCCTGATCTTACAGAAACTTGTGTGTTTAACTTTAAACACATGAAAAGTTTTGTTGAAATCTTTAGGCTACTTGTGCCTATTTAACTGTTTGAGTGTGTGTCTTTGAGGACAGGGGCCTTAAATAATACCTTCCAGCTATTTATTATAGAATATGCAACCCAGAGGCATTGAGACCACTGACAGAAGAGAGTGAAATCTGCCCTACAGCCTTAACTGAGAGTCAGCTGGCTTTTCGTTCAAGTCCATGGCCTTAGTCCCTAAGGTCACATGTTCATTCCCTTCTACTGATGACCAGAGTCTATTGACTTTACAAATAGAACTGGAAGGAGCTTCAAGAGGTCATCAAGTCCAGTACCCTGCACTCATGGAAGGAACAAACTCCGCCTACATCATCTCCCTCCTCCTTATAACAATCTCTTATGTTCTAGAAAACTGTTGTCCTATCCCCTCTTGTCTTCTCTTTTCCAGACTAAACAAACCCATTTCTTTCAATCTCCCTTCATAAGTCATGTATTCTAGACCCGTAATTATTTCTGTGGTTCTTCTCTCAACTTTCTCCAGTTTGTCCGCATCTTTCCTGGATTCTGGCATACAGAACTGGATACAATGCTCCCAGTTGAGGCCTAATCCATGCAGAGTGGAATAACTGCTTCTCATGTCTTGCTTTCAACATTCCTGTTAATAGATCTCAGAAATGTTTGCTTTTTTGCAAGTGTTATGTTGATTCATACTTAACTTGTGGTCCACTATGACCCCTAAGATCTCTTTCTGCATAACTCCTTCCTAGAGCCTCATTTCCCATTTTATATGTGTGCAACTGGTTGTTCATTCCTAAGTGGAGTACTTGGCATTTGTCCTTATTGAATTTCACCCTGTTCACCACAGACCATTTCTCCAGTTTGTCCAGATCTTTTAAAATTATTCTCCTATCTTCCAAAGCACTTGCAGCCCCTTCCAACTTGGTCTCATCTGCAAACTTTACAAGTATACTCTTTCTGCCGTTATCTAAATAATGGGTTCCCAAACTGGGGGACATGAACAAATTCCAGGAGGGGGCACGAGGCAACCCAGCCCCCCCTCCCCATCAATTACCTCCCCCATCCCCCAAGTTGTGCTGCTATTTTTGTTTTTTGGCCCCGGTCAGTTCCTTTTTGGGGGGCGGGGGGGGGGGGTACCTTGCCCTTTCTGATTTTGTATCTACATACTTGTGGTGGTTTTTATATTTATTCTTGGTAATTTGACCTAGGTTTTACAGTAAAACTGTTTTAATTTTTAGATTGTTTAGGATCTCTTGGTTAAGTCAAGGAGATCTGCTGCCATTTTTCCTACACAGTGGAATAGTTTTGTCTTGTGCTCTTAATAATGCCTCTTTGAAAAACTGTCTTGTTTTTCCTCTTAGACTTGCTTCCCATGGTATTTTACTTATCAGTTCCATGAATCTGCTAAAGTCTGCTTTCTTGAAACCCATTGTCTTTATTTTGCTATTCTCCGTCCTACCATTCCTTAGAAACATGAACGCTGTCATTTCATAAAAAGTCTTTATAAAAAGATAGCTGTGTTACTCTGTAACTTTAAAAACAACATAAGAATGGCCATACTAGATCAGACCAACGGTCCATCCAGCCCAGTATCCTTTCTGCTGACAGTGGCCAATACCAGATACCCCAGAGGGAGGAGACACAACAGGTAATTCTCATGTGATCCCTTCCCTGTCACCCAGAGGCTAGGGACACTATTTCTACCCATCCCGATTAATAGCCATTGATGGACCTAACCTCCAGAATCTATCTAGCTCTTTTTTGAACCCTGTTAAAGTCCTAGCCTTCACTACATCCTCTGGCAAGGAGTTCCAGAGATTGATTGTGCACTGAGTGCAGAAAAACTTCCTTCTTTTTGTTTTAAACATGATGCCTATTAATTTCATTTAGTGACCTCTAGTTCTTATGTTGTGTGAATAAGTAAATAACTTTTCCTTATTCACTTTTTCCATACCAGTCATGATTTTATAGACCTCTGTCATATCCCCCTTTAGTCTCTTCTTTTCTAAACTGAAAAGTCTAAGTCTTTTTAGTCTCTCTTTATATTGGACCCATTCCAAACCCCTCATCATTTTTGTCGCCCTGTGTGACGGACTGGGCCGTGTCTGGGCACAGCTGAGGGCGTCCGCTCAGGGCGAATTGCTCAAATCTGGGGCTCCTTACAGCCCCCAGACTGGTGACCTCTCCAAACAGGCCACAAACCAGTCCCACAGAGCACTTCAGCTTCCTGCCTGAAGTCTCACGAGCAAAACCCCTCTGACGCCCCAGCAATATCCGTGCCCCAGATGGCCCCAGGCCTCATACACAGGTGGGGGTTCCAGGACAAACCTTTGGGGGACCCCACTCTCCATTCGGAAAACCTATCATTTATTCCTATCCTTTGTCTCCTGTTTTTTAACCAGTTATCAGTCCATGAAATTACCTTCTCTCTTATCCCATGATAACTTACTTTGCTTAAGAGCCTTAGGTGAGGGACCTTGTCAAAGGCTTTCTGGAAATCTAAGTACACTATAGCCACTGGATCCCCCTTGTCCACATGTTTGTTGACCCTTTCAAGAAACTCTAGCAGATTAGTAAAATATGTTTTCCCTTTACAGAGACTATGTTGACTTCCCCCAACAAATTATTTTCATCTATGTCTAACAATTTTATTCTTTACTATGGTTTCAACAAGCAGTCCCGTGGCACCTTAGAGACTAACAAATATATCATGAGTTTTCATGGGTAAAACCCACTTCATCAGATGAGTTGGTATGGAAATTACAGAATCCAGAGTATATATAACAATAAAAACAGTTTTCTGTCAATTGTAGGACCAGTGCTAATGACACTAAGTCAGGCTGGATGTGTCCCATTTGTAGCTTTTGATAAGTAAATGTGAATATTAAAGCCAAGAGAAATTGCCTTGCTTATTTCATGATCACTTTCACCCAAGCTGCCTTCCATTTTCAAATTCTAAACTCATTCTAGATTTGATTTTGACAAATAAGAAGGAACAGCCTGCCCCCAGTAGCTTTCTTTATCTTCTGAAATAAAAAATAATCTGTGCTCTGTTATTTTCCCCAACAGATGTCTGGATAGTTGAAGTCCTCCATCACCACCAAGTCCTGTGCTTTAGATAACTTTGTTGATTCAAAATAAACAAAAAAAGCCTTATCCCCCTTTTCTTCCTTGGTTAGGTGGTCTATAGTAGACCACTACCGTGACATAATGGTTGTGTTTTACCCTGAGACTCTCAACAAGTCTGTCTCATTTCTGTTTGCACTTCAGTCCAAATGTATACATTTTTAATATATATAGCAACACCTCCTCCCTTCGACCAATATTCCAGCTATGCATATTATCACATCAAATCTCTGTGATACCAAATATGTCATAGTTTTGTTTATTTACTAGCATTATGAATTCTTCCTAGTTGTTTCCCATACCTCTTGCATTAGTATATAGATAACTAAAATACTGATTTTGATTTTGCAAGTTATGGGAATTGTTGGCAATTTTTTTGAGCTATTCAGTCCAATGCTTTCTAAATGTTGAGTTGTTAGATGAAACTACAAAATTAATAAAATGATTACTCTAAAGACATCCAATCCCAGTTGAAATTATTTAACTGATGTGCATTGTATAAAAAGCTTCATGTTGTGTTTGAATATGTTTCTTAGACGATGAAATGCTAAGGGACAGGAAAATAAAGCTTTGGAACAATGAGTTAATATTATGTTAATTCATTCAATGTTGACGATATGAACAGAATTGTAAGTAAGTGTTTGCTTCTAATAATACTTAGAATTAACAAAATGACACTTTTTACAAAAATAAACTAATATCTGATTTATGTTTAAAGCTGTTGGAGCTTTTTGATAGTGAAGACCCACGGGAGCGTGATTTCCTAAAGACAGTCCTTCATCGAATTTATGGAAAATTCCTTGGATTAAGGGCATTCATCAGAAAACAAATTAACAACATTTTCCTCAGGTAATTTATAGAGCTAGTTCTGTATTTAGCCTAGACGATAAATATTTAACTTAAGGACCCTCCTTTTTTATGGCTTTATGTGAAACAGTCAGCAGAACCATCATAGTAAATGCTGACTAGCAAACAGGGAATTTATATGATTGTCAGTTACATAGACTCCATCAGTAAGATGTTTATGAATGAGAACTGAAATGATAGATTGTCCTTGTTCGTCAGCATGATATTCGGGATGTCCTTGTCAGAGCCATGCGAGGAGCTGACCATAGGCTTGTCCGCAATATTTTCAAGATACACATTGCTCAGCATCACCCGAAGCGCCCAAAGCTCATTCGAACAGCCTTTAACATTGCCAGACTCCAGCAGCTTTTTCATCTGCGCAAGTTCCAGATGAAAAGTTGACTGCCAACAGACCATTGATTGGAGGTCCAATTCAGAAGTGGAGCCAGTTTAGAGAAATGGTGATGGAGACAGCGAAGTCAGTGCTGGGTCCCAAGAAACGCAGTCATGAAGACTGGTTTGATGAGAACAACAGTGCTATTGAGGACCTGCTTGCCAAGAAAAACAAGGCATTTATGGAGTGGCAGAATGACCCAGGCTCCATCTCTAAGAAAGACAGGTTTAAGTTTCTCCAGGCCCAGGCTCAGTGGTGGGAGAAAAAAGCTGAAGAGGTGCAACACTATGCTGTCTTAAATAACTCAAGGGAGTTCTTCAGCTCCATCAAGTCAGTCTTTGGTCCTTCCAAGTCTGGCTTTGCCCCCTTGTTATCTGCAGACAGAACCATATTGATTAGGGATAAGGCTGGCATTAATAACCGATGGAAAGAGTATTTCAGTCAGCTCCTGAATCGTCCATCATCAGTCCATCAGTCAGCACTGGAATAGATTCCTCAGAAGCCAACTCTTGAAGACCTGGGAGATCCTCCATTTATTGACAAAGTTAGAAAGGCCATCAAGCAGATGAGTTGTGGCAAGACATCTAGCAAGGATGGAATTCCCGCAGAACTGTACAAGGCATTTAATGAGGAGTCACTTAAGGTTTTTCATAGTGTTTTGACCAGTATTTGGGAAGAGGAAGAAATGCCATCTGATCTCTGTGATGCCGTGATAGTTGCTCTGTACAAGAATAAGGGTGCAAGAGCTGATTTGCGAGAACTACAGAGGTACCTTGCTGCTTTCTATTGCCGGGAAAATCTTCGCCCGCTTCTGCGGTACCGGGCTGCAGAAAAAAATACTGGGCCTCAGCATGGCTTCCAGGGTGTCCCGGGCTCCCGGACTGCCTGAGCAGCGCCAGGTTCCCCAAGCCCTCAGCCGGGCTGGGCGGATGCAGCCGTATGTTTCAGGCTCCCGGCAGAGGCATAGTGAGCTCTTATTGCTGGCTGTGGAGGAGGGAGCAGGGAGTTGGATATGGCTGCAGGGAAGCAGTGTCGGGGCAGTGGAGCTTCTTTGCCATATTTTTAGGTAAGAAGTTGTATTTTTTTGTCACTCTATCCTTTCCACTTTAGTATCTGTAAATAAATATCAAATGGTAGGTATTCAGAAAATACTAGTTGTACCACCAATAGTCAGATGGGAATTAAATTTAGTCGTCAGTATGCATTAGAGTAGCATTTCCTAAACTATGGGCTGTGGCCCGATACCGGGCCTCAGCGTGGCTGCCAGGGTGTTCTGGGCTCCCAGACTGTCCGTGCAGCGCTGGGTTCCGCAAGCCCTCAGCCGGGCTGGGCGGATGCAGCCGTATGTTTCAGGTTCCCGGCAGAGGCATAATGAGGGTTACCAGGTGAGCTCTTATTGCTGGCTGTGGAATGGGGAGGGGGGGTTGAATATCGGCCGCAGGGAAGCAGGGTTGGAGCAGTGGAGCTGCCCGGGGGAGATAGGAAGGGGAACCGGCTGACAGAAGCAGGGCTGACTGGGGAGGGGGGACCCGACTGGCAGAAGCAGGGCTGACTGCAGGGGCGGGAGCAGTGAGACTGGCCAGGGGAGATCGCGGGGAGCGGGGGGGAAACTGGCCAGCAGAAGCAGGGCTGGCGGGGGCAGCAGGGCTTACCAGGAGAGATTGGGAGAGAATCGTCTGGCGGGGACAGTGGGGCTGGCCCAGGGTGGGGATGGAAAGGGAGGGGGAAGAGGAGAGAGAATCGGCCAGCAGGGAGCGGGACAGTTCAGAGCGCGCACAGATCCTGAATAAAAATTTAAAAGCAGTGCCTTTTAAATATCCCCACTGTTGACAATGAGGTTTAAAGGCACTCTAGTGTGTCAGAATGGAGAGAACCTGGTTCACCATCCGGAATGAGAATATGGATAAAAAATTCCAAAGATGGTGTCAGCTTTCTGAAAATAAATGAGCCCCCTTTCAATACATGATGTGGTGGTGCAGGGTTTTTATTGGACTACAGTCCATTTTTCCAATCCAAATTCCCTTAACTTGCTGGTAAGAATGTTGTGGGTGGACATATCAAAAGCTTTGCTAAAGCTGGTTCTGGGGGCTTTAGGGGGACCAAAAACAATGTATTTGCATATTCATCATTTGCTTAATAAATATGCAAATGAATGTTACCGGTCCTCCGAAAGCTCGTGAATGGATTTACTGGTCCCCATGCCAAAAAGTTTGGAAACCCCTGTCTAAAGCAATCCAAAGCTAATTCTCCCTCCATGTGATGCAGACTGGTGTAGTTGGTAGGGGCACCCTGTATCCCTTTGATTAACTTCCTGTGCCCATGTCTGGGCAACAGGGACCAGCTGCACAATCCAGGAGCCTGGAGTAGATGTTGCCTGGAAGGAACCATCCATCGACATTCATCTCTTGGTACAAAACTGGCAGTTTGGCTACAATAACAATGGCTTTGCATAAACCTTGATCCTAAGGATGGAGAGCAGGTGGTCCTCACCTCTCTCCTGTATGGCTGTGAAACATGGACCCTGTACCGTAGGCCCATCAAGCGGATGGAGCAGTTCCACATGTGCTCCCTATGATCAATCATGCGAGTACTCTGGCAGGACTGAATTACTAACTAAGAAGTGCTTGATAGAACTAGTCCACAAGCATCAAAGCCAAGATTCTCCAGATCCAGCTTCGATGGTCTGGCCATGTTCTCCGCATGGACGAAAGCAGGATCCCGAGGCAGCTTTTCTACGGGAGCTGGTACGTGGTAGTTGCAAACAGGGACACCCGAGGAAGAGGTATAAGGATAACCTGAAGACCAACTTGCAGTGGACAGGCCTTCAACCTCGATAATTTGAACTAGCTGCTGCAGACAGGACTAATTGGCGTTCCCATACGAGAAAAGCAGTGACAAAGTTTGAGGATGACCTCCGCCAACGCCTCACTGCTGCACGTGAAAGACGACATAGAGCTGTGTTCTCTCCTGTCCTGACAGCCGGCGTCCCATGCCCTATTTGTAGCCACAGGTATGCTTCAACCTTTGGGCTCTGGAGCCACATGCATCTCCACAAATGAACTACACAACATGTCTTCCTCGGCTCCCGAGAAACAACGAACAAGACTCCATCAGTAAGATGTTTATGAATGAGAACTGAAAAAACTCAGCACCTTGCAGGATCAGGCCTTTACTGTAGGACTTGATTATGTATGAAAACTTGCACTAGTTGTACAGTGTAAAACTTAATCTAGTTACACTGGTGCAAATTCCTAATATATTTACTTAAACAAATTTAAATTGCATTGTACCTGATTTAGCTTAATATGAAGGAAGAAAAATGAGCTCTAAGCAGATGTCAGTACAGCAAAAGTTATGCATTGGTAAGCCTAGCTTGACTCCAACTAGCACAGGTAACAAAAACAGTGAAGTCAATGCTGTTGCTGGATTCAGTGTGGATATTACAAGCATGATGCAGAACCTGGGTAGGTATTTAGGTTGTTAATTCATTCTGACTTCACTGCTAGGGTATGTCTAGACTACATGCCTCTGCCGACAGAGGCATGTAAAATAGGCTACTCTACATACACTGACAGGCTACTCTACATCTTCGCGGGCAGGCTTGCGAACCTAGTGAGGAGGGCTTTAAACTAGGTTCGTCGGGGGACGGTGACCAAAACCCTGAGGGGAGTGGGAAAGTCAGATACCGGGAAGAAATGCATAGAGCAAGGAGCGAGAAAGGAGGACCCCAGTTTCGAATGGAGAAGATAATGCAATCAACTGGTTACCTGAAGTGTTTGTACACTAATGCGAGAAGCCTGGGCAACAAGCAGGAAGAACTGGAGGCCCTGGCCCAGGCCAAGAAATATGATTTAATTGGGATAACAGAGACTTGGTGGGATGACTCGCATGACTGGAGCGCTGTCATGGAAGGGCATAGACTGTTCAGGAACAACAGGCAGGGGAGAAAAGGAGGAGGAGTTGCACTATATGTAAGAGAGCACTATGATTGCTCTGAACTCCAGTATAAAGAGGGAGAAAAACTTGTTGAAAGTCTATGGGTCAGGTTTAAAGGAGCAAACAGCAGTGATGTTGTGGTTGGTATCTGCTACAGGCCACCGAACCAGGTGGATGAGGTAGATGAGGCTTTCTTCGAACAACTGAGCGAAGCTTCCAGATCGCAGGCCCTGGTTCTCATGGGGGACTTTAATCACCCTGACATCTGTTGGGAAACCAATACGGCAGTACACAGGCAATCCAGGAAGTTTTTGGAGAATGTTGGGGATAACTTCTTGGTACAAGTGCTGAAGGATCCGACCAGGGGCCGTGCACAGCTTGACCTTCTCCTCACAAACAGGGAGGAACTAATAGGGGACGTAGAGGTGGGTGACAACCTGGGAAGCAGTGATCATGAGATGGTAGATTTCAGGATCCTGACCAAAGGAAGGAAAGAGAGTAGTAAAATACACACCTTGGACTTCAAAAAAGCAGATTTTGACTCCCTCAGAGATCTGATGGAAAGAATCCCCTGGGATGTTAACATGAAGGGGAAAGGAGTCCAGGACAGCTGGCAGTATTTTAAAGAAGCCTTATTGAAGGCACAGAAAGAAACCATCCCGACACGTAGCAAGAGAGGCAAACCTGGTAGGAGACCGGATTGGCTTACAGGGGAAATCCTTGGTGTACTTAAGCACAAAAAGGAAGCTTACAGAAAGTGGAAACTTGGACAAATGACTAGGGAGGAGCTTAAATGTATAGTTCGAGAATGCCGGGGGGTTATCAGGAAGGCGAAAGCGCAAATGGAGTTGCGACTGGCTAAGGATGTGAAGGATAACAAGAAAGGTTTCTACAGGCATGTCAACAAGAAGAAGGTGATCAGAGAGGGTGTGCAGTCCCTAATGGATGAAGGAGGTAACCTAGTGACAGAGGATGTGGGGAAAGCTGAAGTACTCAATGCTTTCTTTGCCTCTGTATTCACGGACAAGGTCGGCTCCTGGACTTCTGTGCTAAGCGACGCAAGATGGGAAGAAGATGGACAGCCCTTGGTGGGTAAAGAACAGGTTAGGAACTATTTAGAAAAACTAAACGTACACAAATCCATGGGTCCAGACTTAATGCACCCAAGGGTACTGAAGGAGTTGGCAAATGTCATTGAGGAGCCTTTGGCCATTATCTTTGAAAAGTCGTGGAGATCGGGCGAAATCCCGGATGATTGGAAAAAGGCAAATGTAGTGCCCATCTTCAAAAAAGGGAAGAAGGACGATCCAGGGAACTATAGGCCGGTCAGTCTTACCTCGGTTCCTGGAAAAATCATGGAAGGGATCATAAAGGAGTCCATTTTGAGACACTTGAATGAGAGGAAAGTGATCAGGAATAGTCAGCATGGATTCACAAAGGGCAAGTCGTGCTTGACCAATCTGATTAGCTTCTATGATGAGGTAACTGGCTCAGTGGACATGGGAAAGTCAGTGGATGTTATATACCTTGACTTTAGCAAGGCTTTTGATACGGTCTCCCACAATATTCTTGCCAGCAAGTTAAGGGAATGCGGATTGGATAAATGGACGGTAAGATGGATAGAAAGATGGCTAGAAGGCCGGGCCCAGCGGGTAGTGATCAACGGTTCGATGTCAGGATGGAGGTCGGTTTCTAGTGGAGTGCCCCAAGGTTCGGTTCTAGGACCGGTTTTGTTCAATATCTTTATTAATGACCTGGATGAGGGGATAGATTGCACCCTCAGCAAGTTTGCAGATGACACTAAGCTAGGGGGAGAGGTAGATACGCTTAAGGGCAGAGATAGGGTCCAGAGTGACTTGGACAAATTGGAGGATTGGGCCACTAGAAATCTCATGAGATTCAACAAAGACAAGTGTAGAGTCCTGCACTTGGGACGGAAGAATCCCAAGCATAGTTACAGGCTGGGGACCAACCAGTTAAGTAGTAGTTCTGCAGAAAAGGACCTGGGGGTTACAGTGGATGAGAAGCTAGATATGAGTCAACAGTGTGCCCTTGTAGCCAAGAAGGCTAATGGCATATTAGGATGCATTAAGAGGAGCATTGCCAGCAGATCCAGAGATGTCATTATTCCCCTTTATTCGGCTTTGGTGAGGCCACATCTGGAGTACTGTGTCCAGTTCTGGGCCCCCCACTACAAAAAGGATGCGGACGCATTGGAGAGGGTCCAGCGGAGGGCAACCAAAATGATTAGGGGTCTGGAGCATATGACCTACGAGGAGAGGCTGAGGGACTTGGGTCTGTTTAGTCTGCAGAAGCGAAGAGTGAGGGGGGACTTGATAGCAGCCTTCAACTTCCTGAAGGGAGGTTCCAAAGAGGATGGAGAGAGGCTGTTCTCAGTAGTGACAGATGGCAGAACAAGGAGCAATGGTCTCAAGTTGTGGTGGGAGAGGGCCAGATTGGATATTAGGAAAAACTATTTTACTAGGAGGGTAGTGAAGCATTGGAATGGGTTACCTAGGGAAGTAGTGGAGTCTCCATCCCTAGAGGTGTTTAAGTCTCGGCTTGACAAAGCCCTGGCCGGGGTGATTTAGATGGGATTGGTCCTGCCTAGAGCGGAGGGCTGGACTTGACGACCTTCTGAGGTCTCTTCCAGTTCTATGATTCTATGATAAGGGGATGGTTGGATGAAATAACATGATCTTGGTAACTAATTGACCATTCATTATAGGGAACTTTCTGGGTGTCTGGCTGGTGAGTCTTGCCCACATGCTCAGGGTTTAGCTGATCGCCATATTTGGGGTCAGGAAGGAATTTTCCTCCAGGGTAGATTGGCAGAGGCCCTGGAGGTTTTTCGCCTTCCTCTGTAGCATTGGGCACAGATCACAGCTGAAGGACTCTCTGCATGTTGGGGCCTTCAAAGTATTGGAAGGCTTCAATATCTGAGACATAGGTGAGAGGATTATTCTAAGAGGGGTGGGCGAGATTCTGTGGCCTGCACGGTGCAGGGGGTCAGACTAGATGATCATAATGGTCCCTTCTGACCTTAAAGTCTATGAGTCTATGAGTCATAGTTAGTGAACTGGGGATTTAAATATCCCCCGCTTCATTAAAATAAAAATGGCCACCGTTCCGTGCCGTGCTGGCCCTTATGCCTCGTGAAACGAAGTTTACAGGAGCGGTCGACAAAGGCGTTTCCTGTCGACCGATCCGCGTCTTGACTAGCACCCTGTGCTGACCATCAGCTGAGGCGGAAGAGCACAGCGGCCATTTTTATTTTAATGAAGCCGGGAATATTTAAATCCCTGCTTCATTGACTATGTCGGGTAACCTATCTTACATGCCTCTGTCGGCAGTGGCATGTAGTCTAGACATACCCTTACTGTTTCCCATGCTACCTACATTCAAGTACCTTTGTTAGGCTAAACTCTAGCTGTGGAGACATACCATAAACTGCAAAGAGCCAACTGACTTTTGAACTACAAAGGAAAACAAATATTAGAAATTTAAATAAAATACACTTAATAAAGAGTTTCACTATTAGAATTTTTTTCTCTTATTTTCGTTTTATTAGTGTACTAATTACTATTGCATCTTATTGTTAACAGGTTTATATATGAAACAGAGCACTTCAATGGTGTTGCTGAACTACTTGAGATATTGGGAAGGTAAGTTTGGTTTGATAATATAAATTGAACATTGTATTTTGTTTCTTTCCAATTGTGGGGATGTCAAAGAAGATTGTTATGCTTATAAAGTGATGCCATTGTATTTCTCTCTCTCTCTCTCTCTCTCTCTCTCTCTCTCTCTCTCTCTCTCTCTCTCTCTTTTATATAAAATAAATAACATTTTCCATCTGGATGAGAGAATGACATAACATTACTCTGCATCGCCCCCCTTTCCTTACTCCCCCAGCACCTCGGCAGAATCTGAAGGGGAAGTGGCAGCTATGGTGGGGGATGACTGAAAGATACTCAGAGAACTCTGCTGGTCCCCATCCCTTCTGCTTCCCATCCAGATCCGCTTCTAATTCCAGGTCTGGGGCCCTTAGGCTCTGCTACCCAGTGGGGAACCACTGCTGCCGCCTGCCTCGGGTCAGACACTTGGGCCACTGCCTGGCGCTCCAGCCTCATGTCCCTCCCCCCCCATACCCCTCCTTCAAGATTAGAGCGATGTTGCGGGGAGAGGGGGAGAGAAGCTCTGCAGCTCTGTGCTGAATCCAGCTTCCCCACAAGCTGGATCCGGTGCGGAGCCACGGGGCTTTCTCCCCATTCCCCCTGCAACAAGCCTCCATTGGCACGCTAATCTTGAGGGGGCTTGGGTCACAAGACTGGAATAAGAACAGAAGTGGCTTCCCCTTTGGAACAGCAGGGAAAGCCTCCAGAGCTTAGGAACAGCACCCAGAATGAAAAGAAGCCCCCCCTCTTCTCCTCAGTCCCTCATGCCCAGACCCTGCACCTCCAGTGCCTCACACCCTCTCCCCTTCTTCATCCCCAGCCTGCTCCTGCCTTTCACCTCTGGCCAGACACCCTGCACCCAACCTACTCCTGCCCCTTCCACCATGGCCAGATGTCCTGCCCCCAGTCCACTCCTGCCCTCTCCCCTACTCCTGCCTCCTCTCCTCCCAGCGAGACACCCTAGCCCACTCCCCTGCTATTGCCCTCTCTCCCTTCTCCTTGTCCCTGGCCAGATACTTGCCCCCAGTCTGCTCCTGCTCTTGACTCCTCCCCCCTGCCAGACACCCTATCCAATCAGGGCCCAGTCCCCATCTGGCTGCAGGAAGGGCTGGTGGCACCCCCCGAGGGGAGGCCACAATCTGGCTGCGGTTGACAAATGGGAGGGTTGGTAAGCAGTGGGGCACAGCCCCCTAGTATCAATATCAAATTAGAAAAGTTTGCTTTGTCTATGTAAATCTTTAAAATGATCTGCAATGGATTTCTTTTTAAATTGGCTTCTCTTTTTTTGGCTTTGGCATGATGTATGAAAAGCATGAAAGGTAGTTTTTGCCTTTAAAAGGGGGTTTGTTTTCTCTTGCTTATAATTATTTTTTAAAATAAAATGTATGTCTCCATCTTGGCTTTGCTAAGAGACTAGTTATGTATCTCAGGAGTACATTGTTAGCTATTATGCCTAAATTGAAGGTGATATTTAATTTTTAACAGGGTTTTCTTCTCCTACCATGTTGGTTAGGCTTTGTCTACACTACAAAGCTTTTAGTGATACAGTTGTGTCTCTAAAAGTCAGGTACTGTAAATGCTGTTTGTCTGCAGTTTTGCTGAGAGTGAGTGCTCCTGCCAACAATAAGCCATTTCAGCTGCAACTTGCCAAGGCAAAATTTTTGTCATATGGGGTGGGGGATAAACACCTATGAAGGATGAACGTTTTGTCCCTCAATTGACATTGTAGCCAAAGCCTCAGTCATTAAAGCTTTATTGGTATTAAAATAGTCTGACTGAATATCCTTTTCCCTCACAGTTTTGTAATGGTACTCTACAATTGACATAAATTTCACTATTGCAGAAAAGATCTATCAAAAAATTTCCTATTGATCCACCTGAATAATTGCTAAAATTAAGGACAGCTGAAGGGAGAGACAGCTTCAGCGGTCAGAACAATTTTTACTACTGCTTCACTTACACTTGCTTTTGAGTAGGTTCAACTAAAACTCCTGTAGGAAGTGTAAAATTGTCTACAGTAAGGCTCCGATATGCAGGATTAGCTGCATCACCTGATGATTTTTGTGGTACATTTTATTGGCGTACATATGGCAATGGTGTCTACCCTTAAGTTACAGGACCTGAATTTATAAGGTAAAAAGAAAACTGCTACCTCCTCCCCACTCCCCATTACAAAAATCACCAAAGCAAATAAACTTTCAGGCCTTATTTATGTGTCAGTAGTAAAATAGAGTATAATTGTATTTCTTCTCTTTCAAGATCACCTTTTAATTATTGTGAGTGGACAGCGTGTCAACCTCACTAAGATCTGTGGTTAATGTGCCTTGCTAAGATCTACAGTGAGACTGCAAGATGCTTCTGATTTTAAAAATGGAAAAATCTTGGAAATTTTACTCTAAATTATCCCCAACGATCACAAAGAATTGAACTTCTGTACTACAGACACTGATAACTGAGCGTATGGGCTTCTAGCCCACTTCCCAATCCCTAAATAATAGGTATATTTTGTAAAGTTCATGTAAAAAAGTAAGCTTTGAGTACAATAATTCTCAGTCTGTCAAGAAAAAGGAAGTGTCCCCCTATTTTTTAAGATAAAATAATTGTGCTTGTTCATGTTTTTCAGCATTATTAATGGTTTTGCATTGCCATTGAAAGCAGAACACAAACAGTTTCTTATGAAGGTGTTGATTCCTATGCATACTGCTAAGGGATTAGCTTTATTTCATGCACAGGTAGGTTTTTTTTAAAACATTTTGGAACAGAATATATTTCAAGTATATATAAACCTTACAATTTTTTCCATACCTGGGGGGTGGTGGAAGCAATTGAGAAATTTTTAAAGTTCTTTCTGGCATAATACTTAATATGCACTAGTAATAGTGGATAAGCACAACAACATGGCTTATAGTCATAGCATGTATCATGGCTCAGTTCCCCAACTTGGCACTTCGAGAGTAGATATGGGGGCCAGCTAGCCGAGTCCGTAAGAAAGTGACTCTAACTTCCAGAGACAAACTTGTCTGGTCTCAGTTTCCCTGAGCTTCCTCCTTCCTTCCCTCTCCCCCCTGCCACAATCAAGTGTAAATAAAAATATAAAATAAGCCCTTTTCCAGCCCCGCACAAAAAAAAAAAGGATTGATCACTGCCACCACCAAGTGTATCTAAAAATATAAAATAAACCCTTTTCCAGGGATGAAACAACTTAGAATCTCATCGTCGTCCCCCCCCCCACCTCCATTTTGCTTGGAGTTGGGAAACAGCGAATCTGCAGAGAACAATGGGGTTCTGCTTCTTCTGGGTAGCATGGTTTCACTTAGGCACATTGGTTTAAGGACACAAAAATCAACAAATACCGGTTAACCAAAACAAAAAGAAAGCACTTTCATTGTTAAAACAAGACTACAGTTGCAAGCATAGTAAATGACTAAGTGTTAAAAGCCATGTATTAAAATAGACTCAGAGAGAATCCCTGGACTGTAAACCTTAGTTACAAAAGAGAAGAGAAAAAACAACCAGCTCAGACATGATTTCCAAACCCCCAAACAAGGAAAACCATAAAACTGGGCAAACTATCTATACTTACTTACACATCTTATCTATCCCTACTTACATATTTGAATGAATTCAAGGAGTCTGTTCCTGGAGAGTCCGTCTCTCCTGCTGCATGGGGAAAAACGACTGCTGACTCTAAAACAAAGGAAAAAACCAAACAAACCTCTCTGTTTGAAAGTCCTTATCTGTATTTCATTGGCTGAATGCCCAAAGCCCCCTCCCTCAGGTGCATTTCCAAAGTTGCTTAAACCTTTCCTCGCTCTCCGGGTAAGTCACTTTCCTTTGCAGCTCCTATTCATGACAGCATGCATTTGAAAACCTTTTGTGTTCTACTGATTTATCACAGATCAGACACTATTTAATATTGATACTTTGAGTTGTCAGATCTTTGTTACAATTACTGTTTACAAAAGAGCAGAGGAATCCTGAATATTTTTGATAAATGAATTTTTTCTTTTATGGGCTTAGTTCTGATAAAGCTATTCTACTCTGTCTAGTAAATATTATAGATTTAAAAATATATTAAAGTAGGAATAGGTAATAGCTTTGTGGATCTGTTACATATTATGTAGGCCCAGTGTTAAGTATAGAGTGCCAGATTCAATTCCATAATTAAGGTTGAATTTGGTTTTTGCATTTATTCAATCTGTGTTATATTTGAAAAATCGGGCATATCTTCAAATTTACAGCACTTTGTGAATTTAAATACAGGTTGAACCTCCCTGGTCCAGCTATGGATGTTAAATTTAAATTAATTAACTACTTGAATATTCTATGGGATTTCCATCAACTGTTCAATTAGTCAATAAGGGTGGCTCCATCTTTGAAATGTAGAAAGAGCCCTGCTGGGGTCTGGCTACAGTTCAAAAGCAGAAGCCCCTCAGGGAGCGCAGGGCCAGTGGGGAACTCCCCTGCTATTCCCATGCTCCCTGCAGCGCCTGAGCCTTTGAAATGTACAAGAGTCCTGGCACATTTCAAAAGGAAGCCCCACAGGGAGCATGGGGCCAGTAGAGTCTCCTGCTGGCCCCATGCTCGCTGCAGTGCCGGAGTGGAGCTCTTGTACATTTCAAAGCAGAATCGCAACAGAACCGGTGCAAGCGGAGACTGCTTCAGTCCCCTGCTTGCGCCTTTTCGAGTGGAGCTCTTGTACATTTCAAAGCAGAATCGCAACAGAACCGGTGCAAGCGGAGACTGCTTCAGTCCCCTGCTTGCGCCTTTTCCCCACTGTGCCTCTACCTCCGCTGCCCCCCGAGGAGACAGTGCTGGGGCAACTGGCTTTTAAGCCAGCTCCCCCCAGCACCAGCTTCTGACCCCCCCCTTTGATGCCTCTTTCTGATAGAGGCAGGGGGGAAGTGACTAGTCGCATCACTAGTCAACTATCCAATAAGCTTGTACTTATAGAATAGACGACTAGTCACTTACATCACTAGGTACCCCACCCTCAGGACTTGACAAATTCCAAATGTGGGAATTTGCTGGACCAGCCTGCTGACCCTCTCCAGTTCAGGGACATCTGTGGTCCTGCCAGACCATGGATACAGAGGTAAAACAGGTAGTTATAACAAATCAATTATCAGATTTAATTGCAAAAACTAGCTCCTTTTAAGTTTGTGTCTAATAATCTTTCCTTTGTCCTACATGACATTAATATAAAAAATCCTGTTTGTTTAATTTCCTAAAATCTTAGGTTTCGACTATATCTGGAGACCTTTGGGTGTAATTAAGCTAAATTATTAATAGTTGAATGTAATAGTTTATATAGGCTACAGGCAGCATCAGCTGAGGTAACTCTTTAATTGGGTCATTGTGGCATCAGAGGTAATTTAACCAATAACCTCTGTAGCTGATTGGGATGCAACGGTTCTGTTGGAGGATTGCACACTTCAAGTTAGTAGACTACAGACAGTCCCCGGGTTACATGGATCCGACTTACATCGGATCCCTACTTACAAACGGGGTGAGGCAACCCCGCACTAGCTGCTTCCCCCCAGCAGACCAGGGAGATGCGAAGCTAGCGCCCCCTCCCCCAGCAGACCAGGGAGACGCAGAGCGGCTTTTCACAGCAGACACCTCAGCTTGAGAATAAAGGACTGAGGGAAGTGAGGTGTGGGAGAATAAAACTGAGCTCTGGAGAAATGTTTGGCTAGAGTTTCCCCTACAATATGTACCAGTTCCGACTTACATACAAATTCAACTTAACAAACCTACAGTCCCTATCTTGTACGTAACCCGGGGACTGCCTGTACTATACCAAACAGTCACTACTCTTAAGATTTCATGTCTGGCACTTATTTGAACGTCAGTGCTAGAAAGACTACTAGTAGTAGTGCTTCTGCTGTGCTGCACACTGAAGTGGCTCTGCTGGGGAAGTGATGCAGGAGCATTCGCAAAGCTCATAAGAAACACAGGAACATTGGAGCTCTTAGACTGGGCTTTTGTGCCAGTCCTTGTAATAGTGGCATCTAAACCAGTAAGTCAGCTGCAAATTAAAAGACAGATTCACCAGTATACTTTGGCTGCTTTTTACAGTTCTGGAAATGAAAAGCTGTTGTAAATCTGGGTTAACTATCTAATGCACTCTGGCTGCCTTATGTTGCACTGATGAATATGCTTTTACAAGTTAAAATTTTAAAACATAATTTAAGATTGAAGCTAACGTATCTTCAAATAATTGGAAATCTCATGTGTAATATTTTGAGTTTCTTGTTTAGTGTTGATTATGACATTTAATAATAAAAAAAACTAAAGAAATTTCCAGCTAAAAAAAGTTAAAATAGAGGTAAGGTTGAGAGTATGATAAATAATTGGGAGGTAAAAAAATAAGAGATTATAATTATTCCAAGACTTGAGAATTACAAACCCAAGAAATTCAGAATGAAGGCTACACTGAAAAGAAATTAATACATATTAAGTATGGAAATACACAGTTTTGGTACTCAGAGGGAACAGTCTCTAATCTTTGTAATCAAATTTAGGGTTGCAAACACTAAAATACTTTTGTCATAGTAACATGATTATTGCATGGTTTTAGTACACAACAGAATTAGTTGTTTGGATGCATTAAATGTGGACTTCTGTATCTTGTGTGCAGTGTTGTAAAGAGAGAAGGCTCATGAGATTTCAGGTAAACAGAACTTTTCTCCAGGTTTGATAAACCAGCGTGTCACCGCTAAATAAAAAGGTGGAACAGATTTAGCATAAGTAGTTAATACATTTCAAAGAACTGTTCAGGGTGAATTGGTCTGCTAATCCTTCTCCCTAGAGAGGAGACAAGGTAGCTGGGGACAGCAGGGTTAGAGGGTTACAAATTGTTGTAATAAGCCATACATCCAGTGTCTCTATTCAGTGTGTCTATTCCGTTATGTTTTAGTTTTCAGCAAAGCTATGTAGTTAACTCCCATCTTTTAAAAGTATTGTGCAGCTTTCCTGATGAGGACTGATTTGGTCAGATAGAATGTTTACTTTGTGAAAAGTGTTCACCCACAGGCGATGTAGTGTTTTAGTTTTTTGTCATTTTCTTGTGTGAGTTAATTCAAGAGCATAGTGATGTCCAACTGGAAATACATCAGAAACAGCCTGCTAAACATTCTGCGGGGCTACTGGATGATCAAGATGCTAAGGAGCACTCAAAGATAAGGACACTGTGGAAAAACTAAATTAATTCTTTGTTCAAAAGCTTCAGAGGAGTAGCCAAGTTAGTCTGTAACAGGGAAAACTTAAACAACAAATAGTCTAGTAGGACATTAAACACTAAATAGTTATAGGAGGCTGCTAAGAACCATTAGTTTGCCCTTGGAAAGGAAGATGACCAACACCAGATTCTACACAGACATCAAGAACCGTTAGCACCTTCATTGGTTGGTTGGTAAAGTCATTAAGATGTGGAAGATAATGTGTGAGCCATCCATTCATACCATTTGCATAACAATTAAACTTGTGAATGAAGTTAAGGTGCAGCCTTTCTCTATGTATTTGGCTTGTGGAATTGATCTGAAACAAAAACCGGCAACTTTGAGATCCATTAATGAGTGTCCAGGAAGATTAAAGTATTCTCCAACAGGGTTTTGTCCATTGCCTTTTCAGATATCTGATTTGTGTCCATTAATTCTTTCCCGCAGAGGCTGTCCAGTTTGGCCAGTATACATTGCAGTGGGACATTGCTGGCATTTCATGGCATAGATCACATTAGTGGATGTGCAGTTAAGTGAGCCTCTGATTTGGTAGCTGATGTGGTTGGGTCCAGCGATGAAATCGCTCGTGTAAATGTGTGGGCAGAGTTGGCAGCAGAGCTTATTGCAGGGGTTGGTTCCTGGATGATTATGATAGAGGTGTGTTGCATGGTTACTTGAAATAATTTGTTTGAAGTTAGGGGGTTGTCTGCAAGCGAGAATTGGCCTTCCCCTCCCCCCACCCCCAAAGCCTCTGAGAGCGAGGGGTCATTTCCCGGGATGGGTTGTAGATTGTTGATAATTCGTTGGAGGGGTTTAAGTTGTGGAATTCTGTTTTCTCTTTTGGGCCTGTCTTGAAGTAGTTCATGTCTGGATACTTTTTTGGCTCGGTTGATCTGTTTTTTTCACTTCTCCAGGTGGGTATTTCAGTGTTAAGAATGCTCTATATAGATCCTGTAGGTGTCTGTCTCTGTCTGTGGGATTGGAACAAATCTGGTTGTATTTTAGGGCTTGGCTATTTACAATAGATTGAGAAATGTGTCTGGGATGGAAGCTAAAGGCATAAAGGTAAGTGTAGCGGTCGATAGGTTTCCAGTATATGATGGTGGAAATTTGTTCATCATTTAATTGTACTGTAGTGTCAAGGAAGTAGTTTTCTCGTGTGGATTTCTTTGTGTTGATGTTCATGACTGAGAATGTGAATGAGATTCCCAACCCTGGGCTATTCTTTTTAGTGGCAAATTGAGGAACCTTCCCAGACTGAGGTGTCATTCAAGGAAGTTTTAGAACAAATTGATAACTATACTGTAATAAGTCCTAAGGACCAGATGTTGTTCATCGAAGAGTTCTGAAGGACCTTAAATTTGAAATTGAAGCACTATAACTCTAGTTTGTAACCTATCATTTAAATCAACTTCTGTACCAAATGACTGGAGAATAGGTAATATGGTGCCAGTTTTTAAAAAGCACAACAAAGGTAATCCCAGCAATTACAGGCCAGTAAGCCTGACTTCATGTACTGGGAAAGAGATTGAAACAATAGTAAAGAACAGTATTGTCAGAAGTATAAATGAACACAATTTGTTGGAGAAGAGCCAACATGTTTTTTATAAAGAGAAATCATGCCTCACCACTTGCCCTCCCTCAAAGAATGCTAGTAAACAAACATGTAGACAAGGGGGATCTAGTGAATATACTGTATGTTTCAGAAAGCCTTTGGCAGGGTCCCTCACCAAAGTCTCCAGCCCCACTTTGAAAGCTGCTAATGGGCCGCTCCTATTTGTTTACTTAACAGCTCTGTAGCCATGGAGCCTCGCAGTTCACTGTTTGCAGCCAAGGGGAGCCACAGAAAGCAGTGGCCCGAGCCAGTAAGTAAAACGGGAGTGGCTCGTTAGTGTGGCCCACTTTGAGAAACACTGCACTAGGGTAAAGAAAGTATCAGATGGGTAGTGGTGTTAGTCTGAATCTTTAAGAACAACGAGAAGTCCTGTGGCACCTTCTAGACTAACAGATTTATTGGAGCATAAGCTTTCATGGGCAAAGACCCACTTCATCAGATGCAGGTAGATAAAGGTCCTCTCATGGACCAATAAATAGCTTAAAGATAGGAAACACAGGGTAGGAATCATGCATCTGATGAAGTGGGTCTTTGCCCACGAAAGCTTATGCTCCAGCAAATCTGTTAGTCTATAAGATACCACAGACTCCTCGTCACTTTTGCAGATTCAGACTAACATGGCTACCCCTCTGATATAGGGTAGGAATAAGTGCTCCATTTTCAGAATGGAGAGAGGTAAATAGTCATGTCCCCCAGCAGTCTGGTCTATTTAGCTGTACTCATAAATGATCTGGGAAAAGGGGTAAACAGTGAGGTGGCAAAATTTGAAGATAAAACTGCTCAAGATAGCTAAGTCCAAGCTAGACTGCAAAGAGTGATAAAATAATCTCTCAAAACTGGGTGATTGGGCAGCACAATTGCAGATGAAATTTCATGTTGATAAATGCAAAGTAATGCATATTGTAAAACAATCCCAACTAGGGATATTAGTGTGTAGTCATTTACATAATTAACCATAAGTCCAAGCTTATTGGTTAGTCCTAATGACTACGCCCCTCTTGCTGTGTCTCGTATGAGGATACATGTTTACAAAAATAAATGCTTGCTAACATCCCTGATCCCAACTATAAATATAAAATGATAGGGTCTAAATTAGCTGTTACCACTCAAGAAAGAGATCTTGTGTATTGGAATCATTCTCTGAAAGCATCCACTCAGGGTGCAGTGGTAGTCAAAAGAGTTAGCAGAATTTTGAGAATTATTAAGAAAGGGATAGCTAATAAGAGAGACATATTACTGCCTCTATATAAATCCACAGGATACCCACATCTGAGATAGAGATATATATGAGCATTGAAAATTATTAGGGATACAGAATGGCTTCCATGTGAAAAGAGATTAATAACATTGGGACTTGAAAGCTTGGAAAAGAGACAACTACTGGAGGAAGGGGGAGGGGATATGATAGAGGTGTATGAAATTGTGACTGGTCTGGAGAAAATGAATAGGGAAGTGGTGTTATTCCCAAATGAAATTAAGAGGCAGCAGGCTTTAAACAAAAGGAAGCATTTTTTTTTCACATAGTGCACAACCAACCTATGGAACTCTTTGCCAGAGGATGTTGCAAAGGTCAAGGCTATCACAGGGCTCAAAATAGAACTAGATAAATTCCTGGCTAATAGGTCCATAAATTACTATTAGTCAGAGTGGGCACAGATGGTGTCCCTAGCCTCAATTTTCCAGAAACTTGGAATAAGGGATAGGGGAGACACTGGACTGAGGGTTTATTACAACAATCTGTAACAATCCTGGCTTTCCCCAGCTGACTCACCACCTCTGCTTCCTTTCCTCCTGGGGCCTGGACTGATGTTAATAGATCATTTCATCTTGAATGGTCCCTTCAAATATGTATTAACTACTTATGCTAAATATTCCCACTCCCCATATTTAGCTGTGTTAGTTGTGATACTGAGTTCTTTTCCCAGATCTGAAGAGCTCCATGTCTTAAACTAAAAAGCTTATCTTTCTCACCAACAGAAAGTTTGAGGGGTAGCCATGTTAGTTTGTAACTTTAAAAACAAAAACAAGTATATAGTATCATGAGTAAAACCCAGTTCATCAGATAAACTGGAGTGAAAATTACAGAACCAAGATATTTTTAATGGGGAGGGGAGTACCTGTCAATGTCGGACCAGTGCTAATAAGTGGGTGGACTGGAAGTGTCCTATTCTTAGCTTTTGGTGTAAACATGCAATAGTTAGAGGAAGGAGGAACTGGCTTTGTATCACAGATTAATATATACTTCTAATTGAAGAACTGAATGAAGTCAAGGAAAGACTGTCTAAATGTTGGATCTGCAGTACAGCTATCAAATCTCCTGATTAATAACAAAAGAAGCCTTTTCTAGAATAAGAAACTGAGCATCTGAATCTACTGAAGACTTTTAAAAGATACAATAGTCTGAAATACATATAACTTCATTTTAGTTAAATGTATCTATTTCCTTCACCAAGAACAAAAATTGAAAAGGCCTACATCTGCCAACGTTAAGATATTTTGCTGATTAAAGTGCTTCCACTATTATTTGTGATATTTAGTTATGTTGTGTTGTGTTTTAATATTCAGTGTTAGTTAAAATAATTTAAATAACTGTTACTTACATTTTAGCTGGCCTATTGTGTTGTACAGTTCTTGGAAAAAGATACAACATTAACAGAACCAGTAAGTATTTTTCAACTGACTATTTTTGTATTTCTTATCTGAATTAAAATATGCCAGTGCAGCTCACATCAGTGATAGCTCTCACATCCATGCAGCTCTCACATCAGTGATAGTGATAGCCAATACTAATTTTGAATAATTAACTGTAGACACTTCAAGAAAAATTAGGATTTATAAATCAAGGGTACTTGCCAGAAGATAAAAATTTGTTTATTTTAAAAGTACAGGTATATCTGTTGGTAGGTAATAACTTGTGACAAAAATGGGAATATAAACTAGAAAATAGTTAAATTGCTAAAATCATGTGACTGATCTCAGTCAAGGAAAAGATCCTCAGTGTTCTTGGCCATGTATTCCCTGTTGGTTGATCAGAATTTGGATGTTTTGTCCAACTGGAAATTCTGATATTTTAACATTTGTCTTCATCCTTAATTGGGACAGTGTTAAAATATTGAAATGTTTCATGGAATGGAAGATCATGAGAGACACAAACACAAAATGTTGCAATCTTTTTGTTGAAACAATGAAATCTGGTGATATTCTAAATAAAGCAGGCATTAGAGATAAACAGACAAAGCAATTGCTTAGGGCTCCGAGCTGCTCAGGGGGTGATCCCTATTCACTTTTTATTATAAGAACTTGTGCCTTTTTTAGTACCGGGGCGAGGGGAGGGGAGAGGAGAGGGGAAAAAGGCCAGGGTCTGCCAAATGTCTGCTGGATCCATAATAGCTTCATCCATCAGAAGAGCTATTCTGGAGGAGGTAGGAGACTTACAGTTCACAAAAGGCAGTACTGTTTTGCTTGTACTTCTTGTAGAGCATGGTTTTATGCAAGAGCTACCCTTTTAAAAAGATCTTAGAACTTTTTTGAATCATTGCCCAGTGATGGGGTGTTGGAAATAATTGCCTTGTCTGGTGAGGAGGATGAGTTGTGCGCGGGGACCTGTCCTCGCCCTCTGATAAAGAGTCCTCTATTTCCATTTGGGCTGGGGAGTTAGGCTCTGCTGCTGAAGTCGTAAGCTGAGGAGAACTAGGTGGTAGTTTAGATACTGTGGAAGGAGCCCTTTCTAGATGGCAGATTTTTTGGGGTAATTTCACACAGCTCACAAAAGTGAGCCTCCCAGCCTGGGTTGATAGACTATGTCTGGTGGGATTTGTACTAATGCTCTAAAAACAGCTTTTATGTAGATAGGTTTTTTTAACTTGAAGGTTGGGCTGGACATGAGACTGTGAAGCCCATTTCCATTCCCTAAGCTTGCCATTGAGACTGGTCTTCACGGGGATCTGTTGTTCTCAGCATATAACTTACTTACTTTTTTCATGAATCTCAACTTGGGATTTTCCTGATTAATACTGTGATCATGATCACTCTCATTCACTTTTCATTGAAGTGGTACTCTGTTCTCCAGCAGCAGGTGCTTCCTTCCTAGAATGAGGACTTCTTCTTCAAGTGGTGTACCCATGGGTGCTCCACTCTGGGTGCTGGTGCATCCTTATGCCGGTGACCGGAGATTTTTCTAGCTGTATCCACCGTGCACGTGCTATGGCACCCTCTTGTGCCATTGGTGTAGGTTAGGCGCGCGCCCGGCACGGCCCCTCAGTTCCTTCTCTACCGTCCTTGGCAGCAGACAGAGCTTCTCTCCTTCTACTGTTTCTATCGGGGGAAAAAAAAATTCTCCTCTAGAGGCCTGCCGCTTTTTGCTGAACCTCATGCCGGGGTCTCCCAGCTTCAAGATTCTAAGTGAATAAAGGGTCTTAGGGAATTGCACTGGATACAAAAGTGCCCTCACTGCTCTAAGTTGACGGCAAGAGCTTGTTGCAACCAAGCTAACAGGTTGAAGACTTTACCATATGAAAAGTGTCTCCAAACCGTCTTCCAAGGATACTCCAGCAGTCCCAAAATCTGCTTCTCAGCCAAAAGGCATGGACAAAATTGTTCCTCTACCTCTTCTGGCACATCTCTTTCAAAAATGAGACCGTCTCCAGCCCGATCTCTATCCTCAGCACCAACAGCCTTGAGGGTCAGCACCTCGGATAGGCCCAGCACATCAGGTGCTGCAACTCCCAAGATACCGGCACCGCCTAAGAGAGCACACTCGGAGCCCAAGCAGAAACAAGCAGCACCATCTGCATCGACTGCACTGCTGGACTACCCTAAGGACCACTCTGCACCAAAACTGCTTCTGTTGGCACCGGCCTTGTTATCTAAGAGACTGAGATGCTGCCTCCTGACCAAGTGGCACCACCAACACCATCGGCACTGAGTAGACCGCATACCTCGGCACCGTCCCAAGAGCACCCATGGCACAAAACTCTTGCCAGGAGCCGCATGTCACCAGCACCGATATCTCCGGGCTCCTCTGTACAGTTAGATGTGCTCACTTAGATCACCGAATCTGTCCCACTCCCCAGGCGAAGTGGGCAACGACCCTTGGAGCCATTTTTCCTCCCAACAATACAGCCCAGCTCATAGATCTCCATGTTATATGCACCATTACAATTATCTGCCACTGCCATATGCTGGGCAATGGCAACCATGGGACTCACGTCCTCATAGGAAGAGCCATCACACCGGTCCTTCCACCATATCTAAACTACCACCTGGTTCTCCTCAGCTTATGACTTCGGCAGCAGAGCCTAACTCCCCAGCCCAAGCGGACATAGAGGACTCTGTCAGAGGGCAAGGACAGGTCCCCGCACACAACTCATCCTCCTCACCAGACAAGGCAATTATTTCCAACACCCCACCACCAGACAATGATTCAAAAAAGTTCCAAGATCTTTTTAAAAGGGTAGCTCTTGTATAAAACTGTGCCCTACAAGAAGTACAAGAAAAACAGTTCCGCCTTTTGTGAACCTTACAGCCTCCTACCTCCTCCGGAATAGCCCTCCCTATGGACGAAGCTATTATGGATTCAGGAGACATTATTTGGCAGACCCCAGCATCCATCACTCCAACCAACAAAAGAGTGAATTGGAAATACTTTATTACACCAAAAAGAATGGACTTCCTTTTTACACATCCTCCACCAAATTCCCTGGTAATTGATTCCTTCAGACATAAAGCCTAATATCAGATCAACACCACATGATAAAGACCATAAAAAATGGACATTGTGGTTGTAAGGTGTACTCTTCCCTACTCTGCTCCTTAGAGCAGAAAATTATACTGCCATGCTTGTGGATTACAACTATTCTAACTACTCAAAACTGCAAGAGCTTACTCAACACCTACCAGAACACAGAAGGCCTATTCTCCTCAGCATCATGCAGGAAGGCCATATAATTTCTCACATCACTCTGCAGTCCGCAATGGCTGTAGCAGATATGGCTGCACGCGTCACAGCTTCGGCTGTTGTGATGCACAGAATATCTTGGCTCCAAGCACCTGGGGTCCCGAGGTAATTACAGTAGAAGGTCAAAGATCTACCCTTTGATAAAACAAATCTCTTTGCTGCAAAAACAGATGAAGTACTTCATTCCATGAAGGACTCCCGTACCACCCTGAGAACTTTGGGGATGTATACGCCCCCATTTAAGAGAGCCAGATATAACAATTACCAGAGGGCAAGAAAGCCATACAGACGACAACCTAGGTACGATTTCCACTGAAAATAAAGGCCTCAGTGTTGCAGGCCACAACATCAGCAGAAACATCAAACGGTATCTACTCAACCATCCACATCCAAACAGCAGATTTGAAGATTTGGTCAAGAGCCAGAAAGCCTTGTGGTCACACCACCGACCAATTGCCCACAATTCAATCACTGCCTCTGCCCCTTTTTTTCAACAGTGGGCTCAGATAACATCGGACAGATGGGTCCTAGAGCTCATTCAACATGGTTACTTACCAAGTCCGTTACCATTCCACTGCGGGTCCTTGACTCCCTACACTGGTGGATGAATCCACACAGTGTATTAACTGGAGTGCCATTTCAGCAATATACCCCCACACTTACCATGATGACCGATGCATCGCTCCTAAGATGGGGTGTCCATCGGAGAATCCTCACAGCCCAAAACAAATGGTCCTTTACAGAGCAAACACTCCATATCAACCTTTTAGAATTACGAGCGGTACACTATGCATGCCAACATTTCCTATGTCGTATAGCTCACGAGACTATCAACGTTATAATGGACAACACTTGCATGTATTACATCAATCGGTAAGGAGGTGCACGATCCCTGTCCCTATGTGCGGAGGCTCTCAAATTGTGGAATTGGTGCCTGAAGCACCAGATCACCCCGGTTGCTTCTTACCTCCTAGGGGTGTTAGTTACAGCACATGCCCTCAGTTGCAAGTTGTATGATCATCAAGAGTGGGAGATGGACAGGCATGCCCTCGGTTACGTGTTTCGCCAATGGGGTCAGCCAGACATAAACCTCTTCGTGACCAGAAACAACCAGAAGTGTCATCTTTACTGTTTCAGAGCAGCTTTAGGGAAGCACTCCCTGGGGGATGCTTTCTCCATCAATTGGGACACATCCTCTGCTCTATGCATTCCCACTCCTTCCCATACTCCAAAGAGTCATCATCAAGATCAGAACATATCAAGCTCACGTGATACTTATTGCACCAGAATGGTCAAAGCAAACATGGTATCCTTACCTCCGCAGGATGACAGTCTCAGATCCATACGCTTTTCCGCCTCAATGCAGTCTTCTCTCCCAGAATCCCGGGACAATTTTCTATGCAGAACCCCACAAACTTCACCCCCACACCTGGCTCCTTCATGGTTTCAGGATGACAAAAAAACCTGTTCAGAAAGATTGAAAGAAATACCGATCAACAGCAGAAGACAGTCCACCAGGAAAACATACCTCTATGAATGGAAGAGATTTTCCCAGTGGCTCAAATGCACTCACTCTACAAACCCAGAGACTGCCCTCCCCCCCTCCTACTGGACTATCTCTTGCACCTGAAGGAATTGGGCCTGCCTCTGAGTACTATTGGCAGCTTTCCATCGCATCACAGAAGGCGCTTCTTTCCTTGCCCAC